ATGAGGTATATTTTTTTTTAATTGGAACCACCCCATCAAATGCCATTAAAACATGAGGGGTTACAGGGTGTAGAAGAATTAGAAACAAAAACTTTAATGATGAGCGGAAAGAGAAGAGAGTAATCAGGAGGACATTGCATTTAAATTTTTGCAGATTAAAGTTGGCTGGAAAGCTACAAGCCAGAAGAGAGTTCCATAAACGAGAAGTGTGAGAAAAGAAACAGTTAGTATAGAATTTATGGCTACATTTAACCAGCTCAACTGTAGATTGATGTGTAAAAGGGCCCTTCAGTGTTGTGTAATGGTTAGCAAGCTTGTCTCACTAGAATCAATTACGTCTGAGTAGTGAGTTCGATCCTCACTGGGTGCTCCATACTTTCGGTCTTGTGCCGCATCTAAGCTACACTTAGTAAATCTCTATGCTTATTTTTTTTTTAAATATTAGCTTGAATTTTTGTCACAAAAAATGTGTCTTCAAAATAAGGGTGCATCGTCTTCTATGTATCACGTCCTTTATTGACATGGATGATCATGTTTCTCCACAACTTCCTATCTCTTGTGGTGCTTACCAGTTTTCTCCTACCTCTATTCCACCATCTATTCACACAACCTTGTCAGGTAGGTAGCTTGCTACCTTCTCTGTCTCTCTGGCCTTCCATATACATCATGAGGGTTACGTTTTCCAAGCCCTCCACAAAATTTCAACTGTCTTCTCCTGATTATGAGCATGTGTTCTTTTTGTTGCTAAATTGCTGTCTATAGAATTTTTAGTATCCTTCTGTAGAACCACATTTATATATCTGTATTTTTTTTCTAATGCGATGGATTTTTATCACTTTAAATGTTATTTTTAGTGGATACTTGTATTTGAGTAGACACTCTGCTAACTTATTAAACATATTTATTTCTGTAGAAGAAATTAAATATGGATACTGTTTAATAAGTAAAGTGAACGTCTATTCAATTATGAGTGTCCACTAAAAATAACCTTTAAAGTAATGATATATATATATATATATACTAGCAGTAGAGCCCGGCGTTGCCCGGGGATGTAACAGTAAGAGATAGATCAAGTATCGACCATCATAAAGACTGAAAAATAAAATTGACAAAGATTATTGTTTAAGGTTGACGGACACGCATGTCTTAATTTTTTTTTTTTTTTTTTTTTTACGAATTGGTCAAACCCAAATTCAAACAAAAACATTGTTTACAATCGTTATGAGTCTATCGATTGGTGAATAAATTTTATTATAAACAATTGTCTTGTAAATGGAATTTTTAAAGCGTTCTGAATGTAAATAAAGAAAAAAAGTGTGCAAGACAATAAGAAATACTACCTGCCGAAAAAAAAAGTGGATGTTTGTTTTATCGGCTGAAAATGTAAGAAACCGATCCCATATATAAAGGAACACACACACACACACACATAAACAACCTGGGTTTTTAACCTAAGTCACTCCACGGAATCGCTAAAACATAGAGCATAGTCTGATGAAAAAGACGCCAAAGTTTATGAAAACAAAATTTTATGGTCAAAATGCTTATGTTTTTATGAAGAGGATAGACTAAATTTTTTTTTAATTATCTTTTTAAAATTTTTCCATCTTTTTAGAATATTCTAAATTTTGATTTAAAAAACCTTGTTTCTCTTTGTCGCAACACACATTAATTTGGAAAATCTTGCAAAAATAAAAATAATTGTCAGATGTTAATGAAACTTTCAGAAACTATTCACAGATGATCGAAATTATTATAAATTTTTTTTTTTATTAAAGTCATGGCAGAAATATTTTTTTATATTTATTAACATCCCCATAACTAATTTTATGAAAAAACTCTAGAAATTGAGACCATCGGTTTTAGTGATTACAATAGTTAAAAGCACAAGGCTTTGAAGAATGCAAATCATGTTTTTTTTGGGTTTTTTTTTTGGCCAACGTACCTGAAAATCAGCTGTGAATTTTAACATACAAATCTCAATAAAACAAATATATTATTTAGTTTCAAATGCTTTTATTTGTTTTAATTTGTTTTTATGCATATGGACAATATTTTCTGAAAGCAAAAAAATTTTTTCAATGAAAATTGAATTTTAATACAATTATTTCTTATTTCTTTAATTTTAAAAAATTTTTAAAAAATGTTTAAATTGAATTTAAAAAATATTTTAACATTAGTTAAATGCAACATCAACCTTTCAAAATGTCCGTGTGAGATTGTCATAGTCTAGCGCTTTGAAAATTGTATAATTTGGACCAATCAGATTAGCCATGGTAATTAAGAAATGTAATTTTGTGTTTATAGTCGGACAGTAATTATCAAGTACGGAAGCCCAACCAGAATACAATTTAGTTGCATTATTTGAGTTCAGCATTGTTCTCCGCTGTTAAGCCCTTTACTTTTGCGAAACACGTATGGAGAAGTTAATTTGAGTTTTCAATTTCAACTGAGAAGGGTACCTACAAGTAACAGTATCATCTTATGAAATTTAACTACTGCTAAACTTTAATTTATATGATCTTATTTTTATATTAATCACAGTTATGACATTTTCCATAAATGAAATATCAAAATTAATAATAAAATGAATGGAAATACAAATAACACAGTAAAATGTAATAAATGTACATAAAATTATAGTATTTTATGTACACTTCTGATAAAATTTCATAAGAAAGGTACCTAAATTAATTAGATACTTTTTTCTTATGAAATTTAATCTCACTATTAACAGTCTTATTTTTTAATTTCATTATATTTTCTATAAAGCATCGTAAACGTAAAAATGAAAGCTAAGTACAAAAAAATAAAAAATAAAAATTAAAAAATTAGAGCGCTGAAAGTTTTCCTTAAAAGTAACAAGGTAAATAATTTGTTCACTTAAATAATTTCACTTCCTTCCATCAGTAGAAAGAATTCTCCTCCCGTAAGTTATCTAAACGTCATGAATGTGCCTTTCGTCAATCGTCAAGCGACGCGAAAGGTTATGACCTGCTTTGTTTTATTTTCAAGTTACATTTTTTCAGCGCAAAAGCTAAGTTAAACTTGGTTCAAAATATTTTAAATAAACAGTATAATTTCTGTTTTTATTAAAATCAGTTTTGAAAAAATGATAATTGATTTTTAAAAGAATATCAAAGTAAGATTTTAATCTTTTTTATCAAATCGAAAAAAATGATTGAAAATGATTATCTGTCCTTTTTTTGACAAAAAAAAACAATATTTTAACGAAAATTTCAAACGTGCTAGGAACGATTAAAAATGTAAAAAATACCCCCAAAATACTTTTGATCTTTCCTCTTTAATAATAATATGAACATTAGACGATAAAATTTTGTTTTCGTCAAGTTCGGCGTCTTTTTCATCATGCTATGCTCTTTTGTTTACATTTTCGTGGGTGAGTTGTCCCCTTTCATTCTCACGATGTGTCTTAATCGTGTTTTCAAATTGATTTTATTAAAAAAACAACTGTGTTTTTCCCATTTTCGGCCCCGTTAGAACCACCACAAGGTAATTTTATGTAGTCCTGTGAAGTTTTGTTGAAATCGGCTAAAAAATGTAGGAAATTCGATCCAACATATAAACGTTACAGACACACACAATCTGCGTTTTATAAGTAAGATTATGAAATAGATTAAATCTGATTATTATTTAATTTATTTTCTGTTATACATTATTTTAATAGATACACTTTATTTAAGTAAATGCTTAGCTTTTTTAATTAAGCAGTATTAATTACATTTACCTGCCTGAACGTTTGAGAATTTTTGTAGAAAATATGCCTTCTCCAACAAGAATCGAACCTGTGTCCAATATGGAACCATCATTTGATCTGAGGTGCTATACCACTTTGCTATAGATAAATGTCTGGTTAGCAAAATCCAAATTAATGTTTTTAAATAAAATCTTTGATGATCTTTTCTGAACGATCACATCTGTTTACGAAATATATCGTAAACATTGGCCACATATTATGAAATGGATTAAGTCTGACAATTATTTAGCATATTTATATATATATATGTATATATAAATTAAAAGGAAAGAACAGTAAGATATATAATCCGGTGTTCTTATAGATATCTTTATTTTTACAAAATAGTGCTCAATGTAAATTTACAGAGCATTAATATTATAAATTAATTGATTTAAAATATGTTTTTTTCGCTACACAGTTCTAACCATGTTTCAAAAATGAAAATTCTCGCTTGAGGATGAAATGGAACTAATGTCTTTAATTTAATTACAAAATTAAATTTGGAGCTTTTAGGTTCCATTTTTGAAACATGGTTAGAACTGTGTAGCGAAAAAAAATAACATTTTAAATCAATTAATATATATATATATATCTGATTGAGCTCTCTGGAACAAAAAGGGTGATTTTAAAAACATTGGCTCCTACTGCTATTAACGTATTGCTCTTCAAATAGGAAATGAGCTCTCTGGGCTACTGACGTATTTCATATACAAAACGCTAAAATTTCCCTTTCTTTCTGCCGTGTGACTGATGCCAAATCAGTCAGGTTTCAATCTCGGCTTGGAGCAATTGGACATCTAGACACACTGAAGAGCTGTGATACAGTGAAACAGTCTGTTTGTGGATGACTATATATGTATGTGTATATATATATATATATATATAATGAAGGGGTACTGAAAAGATACTTCTGATACTTGGTCACTTAGGAAATGTATTAGACTGAGAATTTTTCAATACCCCCTCATGTATGAGGCTGGGATAGGTGCATACTTTTCAGTGGCTACCTGGCTATGGGGTAGTTTGCACATATTCTATTGCTCAACTTGAAGCACCAACTGACTTTTATAACTGGCTCTCCTATCAAGATTCTATCTCTATCTCTCTCTCTCTCCCTCTTTATTCCCTTCTCTCTCCCTATCCCTCTCTCTCTCCCTCCCTCTCCCTCTCTTTATAAAACTCTAGAATTTTCTTTTAATTCAATAAAAATGCACTTTCACAACATGATATCCTTTCAGCCATGATTGATGATTTCATAATTTTCTTTCAGCCTTTCGAATGTGAACTTCAGGTTGACACGAGCAGTGAGAAGAAACAGGATTGGTCATTTACGTTGTACGACTTTGATGGGAAAGGAAAAATTACAAAAGAGGTTTGTATTGCATTCCTTCGAACATGTCTATTTTATTTAACCATTCACACGTGTTTAAAAAAAACGTGGATTTCTTTTGTCCTTTAGAGTTAAATAATTTCTAATTTATATGCTCGGCATCATGTTCACCAGTTTGTAGATGTCAAACCCAATCATTAAGTTGTAGAAGCTGGGATGATACATACATGTTTGGCTTCTTACTGCATGCTGAGACATGTCCTTGGAAATGTAGTAGCAGGTAAATTGAAGGTAATTGAAAATAATTACAGTTATAATAAATAAACAAACCCTTGAACTTGTGAAAAAAATAAATTTGTTAGTTGTTTTTGTTTAGCGGTATATCAACCTCTCTATATGCTGAAACTTAAATATTTTTTATGCAAATTTTATTTTTGAGATAATAGTGGTTTTAGTAATAGTAGTTTTACTAATTAACCCCTAGGTGGAGGGAGAAGAGATGGGATTCATTTCTTTCCAAAGTGTATTTGTGTAAATGATTATAATGAACTCCACTGGAATTGGATCTCAGCTCTTTGATTAACAATTCTGAGCCATTATCCATTACATTACTTGCACATCCAAATGAATTTTTTCATTTGTTTTTAATATAATAACTAAGAAACAGAGGTACCTTGTGTTGTGGCCTTGTTAGGGCCAGAAATAAAGACACAGAGAAAGCAATTGAGTTAAACAAATATATTAACAGAAACAGTAATACAAACCATATACAAACAAGAGTGTTACAGCAAGAATGTTTGGTTTAACTGTCAGAGCTGACTGCTAGAAACTTTCCTCTCTAAAAGGCAGTACCTGCTCCTATTTATAGCTGGGAGAGTCCATGCATGCGTGGGCAAATTACCATAATACCTTGAAGTACCCAGACAGTGGCTAACACCTCTACTAGACATATGAGTTCACAATTGGACTCATTTCAAGCTCAAAAGGTCATAAAATGAATCAAGATCAATGTATAAACATGTCTGTAGCTTGTTTTTGAACATTATGTTTTGGATGTGTTCATTCGTCTGCGTCTGAAAAAGACATGCTGGGAAAAATTTTGTGTTGTTTCTACACATGCTGTTAAAATATGAGATAATTTGAATGAGAAGATTATGAAATAATATCAGTTTTCATGAAACACCCTGAATGTCAAAAATAAATCTCATTTAGGGGAAAGTAGATATCCGTGACAGGTGTAAAATAAGATTTTAGTTCACTGTAAAAACAAAAATCCAAAAATGGTTAAGAACAGTGGTTCTTAACCATTTTTCTGTCAAAAAAGTGTACAAATATTGCATATCTTTTATCAGAATTGATGTATTTACTTATTCTTCATCATGAGAGATGTTTCAACTTGAAGGTACACTGCAAATCATTGCGATTTCTCATCTTCAGCAACTTTGTAAATAACTAATAAATCAGTCCTCTGAAAACCACCATGTCCTTTGTTAACTCACAAAAATCTTGATAGTGGAAGTCAGTGTGCTAATACCAACAATGGTTTGCCGACCATCAGCTGATGCGTTCGTGTTGCTTATTGATAGTTCTTCAAATGTCCTTGTTCAATGTGTATACTAAGATTGTCCAATGTCTGTGAATGGTTTTCTTCCATTTGGTCCATCAGTCATTTAAATGCCATACATGATACATGTTTGGCTGATTATGTCACAATTCATAATTGACTGATCAGAAGATTTTCTTGCAGTATGCTGCTGATTTATTCTGTAGTAAATTGGTTACCAAGCAAAGCTATAGTCTCTCCTACCTTTGTAACGGATTCGACTGAAATTCAAACTTGATTATTTCATTTCTCAATCCAAGCTGTTATCCACACTGTACGTTCCATTTGGTATTGATGTCAAAATCCTTTCCATAATATTTACTTTCTCCAAAGCTATTAACTTGTGCTGTCTAACTCCAATATTAATATGAAACCCTAGATTTTGATTTCATATTAAAGCATTTTAGACATAAAAAATGAAAAATGATTTAAAAAAAAGATTACATTCAAACTTAACATTCGACATTTTATCCCTTGAATTGAAGATTCACTATATTTTTTGGGTTTTTTTTTTTTTATCTTGACAGGAACTTGGAAATCTTTTCCAAGCTCTCTACGATGCAGTTGGTTCTTCTATTCGATTACCTTTAAATGGAACCAAAAAGCTGAAATTACGCTTATCTATTGGACATGACCATAGTCACTTGGACACAACCCTGAAAGACCAAAGTCCACCCCTGGTTAAGAAGAAAGCCAAATTAAAGAACAGCAGCAGATTGACAGAATGGAAAGAGATGAGCCTACAAGCCGGTGCTGGTGGGAGCACCAGAGTTGCAATGGCTGACCCGAAAGAATGTACCAAACTTAACAACCTTGATGCATCACCGAGAGCAAAACCCAGCACTATGTCAAAGATGGAGAATCAGTTGACAGCAACGACTCCTGGCATTGGGCACCGGCTGATGTTAAGTTGCAGGGAACAAAGAAAACTGACAGAAATGGTTCATGAGAATATGGTCCGGAACCATGTTCGACAACAGACCGGAAGGTAAGAAAACAGAATTCTTTGTAAGAAAATGTCTTAAGTATTCTATTGAGAAGAAACTGGATTTTGTAACATATGGTGTAAGATTTTCCTTAAAAATGTCACATCTGTTAATAATTATTTATAGTAAATCATATGCAATGTATTTCTATAGTAAACAATTTAAATGTAAATCTGTAGAAGAAATATTTTATTACATTTCTATAGTAAATAATTTGTAATGTAATCCTATAACAAATAATTTAAATGCAAATCTGTAGAAGGAAGATTTTTAGTACATATCTATAGTAAATAATTTGCATGGTATTTCTATGTTAAATCATTTACAATGCATATCTATAATTAATTTTTTGCAAAATAATTTTATGCCATGTGCCTTCAGGATATAGGCAGTCATCACTCTCTAATTTGTTATCTATTAATTTCTTTGTAATCCTGTGAAAGACATTGAAGTGTTTTCCTATTGCTTTCTTCACAGTTTGGAATTCAATGTTTTCCTTCTCTTAGACTGGCAAGACTACACAAGGCTAGAGAGCCGTGTCTACCCTGCTATTTAACTATTTAGCTGGAGGAGAAGTGATAGATTCCTACCTTTTCCAGGTGCATTTGTGCGAAAGTGAATGCAACAGAGTAGCTCACTGATCCCAATTTCAGTGCCAATATTTGTTAAACTACCCACACATCTGCACCAAGTAAATCTATAATAAAAAATAATTTAATATGCATTTTGATTAGGAATAAGTTTCTCAAGGTCTTTTTACGCAATATATTTAGTCTCTTTTTATACAGAAGAAAATGCATTTACTATTATATAATATGCATTTTTCTCATACAAAACAAAGTTATTATTAATATTTGTTGAGTTGACTGATACTCATACACACCAGTTCATGTAAGAAGGCAACCCAAGAATAAAACCAGAATGTGTATTATATAGCAGAAAAACCGTAAGGTGGGGAAAATTAGAAAGCAAGAAAATTGTTTTCACATGAATTGTCAGAGTATAGTATTATTAGCATCTTGCTATCCACATTTCATTTCTTGCAGGGTATAAGAAATCTTTTTGCGGAAGACTGTCAATAGATATAAAAAGGAGGCTTAGTTTAATAAATGTAAGGGTCATTAAAAAAATTGTATTTCTTTCGTAATACTTTTCACTGCTACTTTTTATTGTAAGTCATATCTTTGTGATTCTATGGTAAATTATTTTTTTTTTGCAAACCTTTTGTTAAAAATTTCTATAATAAATCCTTTCTTATACATTTCTATAGTAAATCCCTTGTTAACTCAGAAATATCTAAAAACACTACTCAGCCATGACTAAAACTTTTATACAACGAGTGATCTCCTGACAGTTCAGAGTAAGAATTATTGGTTGAACTCACTGTTATATTATATGTCTTTTATTGGTTAGACTCACTTTATCAGTAAGTGTGTCATTTCTGTGTGTCCTTTATTGGTTAGACTCACTTTATCAGTGGTGTGTCATTTCTGTGTCTCTTTTATTGGTTAGACTCACTTTAACAGTGCTGTGTCATTTTTGTGTGTCTTTTATTGGTTAGACTCACTTTATCAGTAGTGTGTCATTTCTGTGTGTCCATTATTGGTTGGACTCACTTTATCAGTGGTGTGTCATTTCTGTGTGTCCTTTATTGGTTGGACTCACTTTATTAGCACTATATGTCCTTTTATTTCTTGAACTTACTGCATCAACATTGTGCGTCTTTTATTGGTTAGACTCATTGGTTAGACTCATTGTGTCAAAAATGTGTGTCCTTTATTGGTTAGATTCACCATATCAGCACTATGTGTTCTTTATTTGTCAGACTCATTGTGTCAGCATTGTCCTTTATTGTTTATACTCACTGTATCTGCATTATGGTGTGTCTTTTATTGGTCAGACTCACTGTGTCAGTACTGTGTGTCCTTATTTGGTCATACTACTACTACCTATACTACTTATTACCAGGATACAACAGCTAGTGGTCCTGCTGTTGTATTCTGGGACACTTGGATGTCTCTTATTCTACCAACTGGTGTGTCTACTTACATTTATATCTTGGTGTGCCTGTTAACTTTTCACCTAAGCCTTATATCTATCTTTATCTCTATGTACATTCACACATATTCTTCATTAATGCCAATTAATTTGCATAATAAAATCTGACATTTTGTATGCAGATGAATTTTTCAGGCTCACTTGCATCTCCTTCAGTAATCTTTGACACTCAATTGATGAATTGTCTGTAGGAATACGTCCAAGTGGGCAAATTACATATTTGGGTAAATTTGGCAAAATAGATCAGTCAAAACATAGTGTGT